TTTCTCCACTGATCTCCAGGAGCATATCGGGCACCTACTGACCTTGGGGGTTCATCTCTCAGTGTCCTATCTATTTGCCTTTTCATACTGTTCATGGGATTCTCAAGGCAAGAATACTGAAGTGGGTTGCCATTCCCTTGTCCAATGACCTGTAATTAAAAAATTGCAATTCTATATTTTTTCTAAAACACTTATGTTTACCAAAGGATCACTATGAATACTGTTACAAGGACTATGTGCATCAGAATTATAGGTATGCATATTAAAAATGAACATTTCAAGCCCAGGAATTTAAATTTACAATAAGCAACCCCTATTTCCATATTGATGTAACACTTGTTTTAAAAACAGCTGATACAGAGGATAGCATTAATTTGGGAATGTTGCTACTTATTTAACTCATACGCAGAGTACATCATGTGAAATGCTGGGCTGGATGAATCACTAGCTGGAATGAAGTTTGCCAGGAGAAATATCAACAACCTCAGATATGCAGAAGACATCACTCTAATGGCAGAAAGTGAAGAAGAACTAAAGAGCCTCTTGATGAAGGTAAAAGAGGAAAGTGAAAAAGCTGGCTTAAAACTCAACATTCAAAAAACTAAGATCATGGCATCAGATCCCATCAGTTCATGGCAAATAGATGGGGATAAAGTGGAAACAGTGGCAGATTTTATTTTCTTGGGATCCAAAATCACTGTGGATGGTGACTGGAGCCATAAAATTGAAAGACAGTTGCTCCTTGCAAGAAAAGCTATGACAAACCTAGCAACGTATTAAAAAGCAGAGACTTCACTTTGCTGACAAAGGTCCATCTAGTCAAAGGTATGGTTTTTCCAGCTGTCATGTATGGATGGGAGAGTTGGACCATAAAGAAAGTTGAGCACTGAAGAATTGATGCTTTTAAACTGTGGTGCTGGAGAAGACTCTTGAGAGTTTGTCCCTTGGATTGCAAAGAGATCAAATCAGTCAGTCCTAAAGGAAATCAGTCCTGAATATTCATTGGAAGAATTGATGCTGAAGCTGAAGCTCCAATACTTTGGCCACCTGATGCAAAGAGCTGACTTATGGAAAAGATCCTGATACTGGGAAAGACTGAGGGGAGGAGAAGGGGGCGACAGAGGGTATGAGATAGTTGGATGGCATCTCCAACTCAAGGGACATGAGTTTGAGCAAACTCTGGGAGATAGTGAAGGACAGGGAGCCCTGGCATGCTGCAGTCCATGGGGTCACAAAAAGTCATACATGACTTAGCAACTCAATGACAGGGAACTAAGATCTCTCAAGCCATGTGGTGTGGGGGGAAAAATCACTTGGAAAGAAAAGAATCACTTTGGGTATCTGTAAAATATACAGACCACCAATCTTCCCTAGGCATTGTGACTCAAGAAGGTTGAACTGGGGCCTAGGAATCAGTGTTCCTTAAGCACACCAGTGATTTATCTTCAAAGTCAGGGGGGAATATTAGATTATTATATTCAGCAAATATTTGCAACATAATTCCTAAGACCCTGGAATTGCCAAAGAAGCTTAACTAAACAACCAATAGGAAAAGACTGGCTATTTTTACACTGATATGGAACTCATGTTTTGGAAACACAATCTTGAGGTCACCTTTTCAAGCTCAATTCTACTCCCACTGAAAAATTTCCCACTACTTTCAAGATATAGACAAAACTTCTTACCAGGGTCTACAAATGCCCAGAGGTATGGTTTCCTTCTTACTGCTTCTCTATCCAATACTCATCTTTCTGGTCTTAAAGGTGACCCTTCTCCAGTCCAGTTTCCCCATTAGTAAAACAGGAATAGTAACACCAATCTCAGATGTTTCAGGATCAAATGAGATCAGGTAAGAGCTCTCTGTACAAGAAGGTGGCAAAGTGAATGGCAGCTATTATTTAATCAAATCAAGCTCTGTTTCTACTGTGTCACATTCAGCTCTTCAACCCACCTGCCATCTGGTTTTTGCACCCACCACTCCAAGGAAACTATTTTCACAAGGCTCACCAACTGCCAAGTCCAAATGACAAATTTCAGTCTTTATCTGATTGACCTTTCGGCAAATAAGTGGGAGACAGAGGATAAGATGGTTGGATGACATTACTGACTCAATGGACATGAGTTTGAGCAAACTCTGGGAGATAGCGAAGGACAGGGAAGCCTGCAGTCCACTAGGTCACAAAGAGTTGGACCCACCTTAGCAACTGAACAACAACAACAAAAGTGTATCCTGGTTTCCTTATACTTCTGGCCAGTCTTTCAAAGTAACTTTCTTTGTTCTTTCATTGCTTTTTCAGACTGCCTTTTTCAGACTTTTAAAAAATGTTTTATGACAGCAACACATGCTTATTTATACACTGATGACAGCTACTCAGCAAGGTCTTCCTTGATCATTAAATTAGAACCTTCACCCCAAACCCTCTCATATCACTTTGTCTTCAGAGTACTTCTCTCTCTCATTCACTTGTCTATCTTCCTCTCCTACTAGATCCAGAACTCTATGAGGGAAGGAAGTATGTTTTATTCACTGCTATATTCAGAGCACCAAGAATAATGCCTGGTGCTCACTAGGCTCAGTCAATGTTTCTTCACTAATTAACTGAAATATCCCTCACATTTAATCACTTACTTGTAGATTCTACCTCCCTCAATTCTCTCAAATCTTTGCCTGTTCTTGCATAAGAACTGACTCATACTTTGCTTAAATGACTCACAACCATATCCTGTCCTATTCTATAGTCCATAGCCCAAACTGCTGCTAAAATTATCCAAATCCTTCAATAGATTCCTACTGTCTTTAAGATTAAGTCCAGATTCTTTTGCATATAGAGCTCTCTGGGACCTTCGTCTGTGCTCAGTGGCTCAGTCATGCAAGATTCTTTGCAACCCCATGGACTGTAGCCTGCCAGGCTCCTCTGTCCATGGGATTCTCCAGGCAAGAATACCGGAGTTGATTGCCATGTCCTCCTCCTGGGGATCTTACTGACCCAGGGATCAAACCCGTGGGTTTCTTATGTCTCCTGCATTGACAGGCAGGTTCTTTATCACTAGCGCCACCTGGGAAGCCCAGTGGTTCAATAAATGCTGAATGAATGAATGAATACCATGTACCCATCCAATCTCCTAAACCAAAATTCTGGAAGTCACCTTCCATTTTTCCTTCTCTACTCCCCCAAATGCCAACTGGTCATCAAGTCCTGTTGATCTGTCCCCTAAATATCTCTCAAATTCACCCCCTTCCTCCCTATCCTAATGCCACAGTCCTAGTTCAACTACATTTGCCACCCTCCAAACCATTCTCCACACTACCACTGAAATTATTTTTAAAAAATTTTTATTACAAAAATAATACGTTCTTATAAAAATTCAAATACAGAAATAAAAGCACAGTGCTCCACCCAGTATACAAATAAGCATATAGCACCTTCCCCTCCAATCTCATTGCCCAGAGGTTATCACTGTGAATCATTTTGTGTAAATCCTTTCAGACTTTTTCCTTTGCATATACAAGTATATATAAACACATATAAATACATACATGTGGTTTTATCATTTACAAAAATTGGATCACACTTGTTACACATGATTCTTCAATTTATTTCTTCATTCAATATACTGAGAATTTCTAAAACACAAATCATATTTTATCACTCCACTAGAACATTTCATTTCTCATTAATATAAAATTCACATTCACTAGCATCAAATTCAAAGCTCTTGATGATATGCTTCCTGTCCATCTTTCAGTCTCACCTAGAGGCATTCCAGCACGGAGGGACTGGAACATAAACCACTTTAAATCCTTTCTGGAACAAGGCAGGTACAAACAAACAAACAAACAAACAAGGAACACACTCTGCTATTTGCCATTTCTGGAGTTTGGCCTTTTCACTTCATGTGACACTCTGGCTGGACTTTTCCATCTGGCAAGCTCCTACTAATTCTTCAAGAGTCAGCTTAAAAATTATCTCTAAGAAGACTTCCCTGACTTTTTCAGACATGATTGCTCCTCTATTTTCTCCTATGTTTTATATCTAGCTTAATTGCACTTATCTTACAGTACTGTAATGATTTATTAACATGCTTTGAATTTCACTCCCCTTCCCCCAACTTAATGGTGAGATCCTTCAATAAAAGGAATGTGTCTTATTTAATTTTTCATCCCAAGAAGCTGATAGAATGCTTACCATGGAGCAGATGCTTAATAACAAAATCTGTTGAAGATTTCATGATTCTAGGAACATTTACTGAGTACCTACTCTGCACAGAACCATATCCTAAGCATAAAAAGAAACAGAAGACACAGTCTTTGCCCTAAAGAACTTACCGTTTCCCTACCATTTCCCCTGGGGGGAGGAGGGACAGAACACATTTACATGGTGACATATCATTTCTGACATATATGCTGTTTCAAAGATTTATAATTTATTTGCCTCCAATCCACTTAGGAACAAGGCATTTCATAATCAAATAAATAATAAATAATGGGCAGTTCAATCTGTCCAATAGGTTTATGGTTTTAGTGTGGCACAGAGTCCACCAGAACACAATTCTCTGTCCCAACAGGGGGCTGTCAATGGTTACAGCCTGCAAATTAGAAAACTGAGATGATATCATGCTTGGAAATTTTCTAATACATCAAGAGGACATAAAGTTATTAGCTATTTCATAATATCTCTTCCTTCCCCAGGAACAAAATGATACCAAGAACAATTAATAGAGTTAAAGGAGAGCACTGCAGAAGGAGGAGAGTGCTCTCTTTTTGTTAGTGGTAGGGGAAGGGGGTTGCCTTTTAAATCAAAGGGTGGCACTGCCCTAGGAAGATCAGAAGAGTTAATTTATTATCATATACTTATTATTTTTTAAAAAGCTACAGTATTAATTAATTTGGTAGTTTCAGGATCAGACACTGTAACAAATAAATATAAACAAATGGGGGAAAGGTGAGCCACCTAGGCTGGAGAATAGGGAAGGCGGACCAAGGAGGCCCAAAGGAAGCCTCATTCATCAGAATCCAAGTCACTGTCCCCAGCAATGGAGTGGAAATCCTCACTGTCCTCCTCGTCCTCTGACAGCTGGACCTGGCTTAGTACGCTCGGCCCAGAGCGTTGCTCTTCCTCCTCATCTTCTTCCTCCTCTGATACCTCATACCCACCGATGCTGCTGAAGCTTGTGTCTTGGGTGTTCGACTTGGGATCAGGCTCCTCATAGCTCCCATAACTGAGAAAAGAAACATGTCATCTCTCAAGCTCGGACACCATCCTCTAGCTGACCAGTCCCGTTCTCAGTGCCACCAAGGGATCAGCCCATCTCACTGCCCCCGCCCCCCACCCCCGGCCACTAAAATGATGGCTCTGGACTGTTCTACGGGTACCTGAGAGAAAAATGATCCTATTCCAAAACATCAACTTGCCAACTTCACATACACAAGAATCTGAATGAAACTCCCCTACACTTGAACAATACACTGTCAGATTACGTGGCCATAAATGCTCTGATAAGCCTTGTAGGTTTGTTGACCACTTATAGCCTCACTCATCTACATATCCAATTAGTCAACAGTCCTAAAGATTCTACCTCTTCAATACATCTCACCTTTATCCCCATCTTTCCAGCCCTATTCTGCCTGCTTTGGCTTCGTTCTTTGAGATCTCTGGTCTGCACCACTGCCATCAGTCTTCTTCCAGTCTTGCTCTCCCCAATTAATTTCTTCACATTTCTGCCAGAGTGCTCTTTATTTTTGTTTGTTTGTTTATTCTTAATTTTACTTAAAAAAAAAAAAAGCACACAAGTAATGCACGTTTACTGGTTTAAAAAAAAATTAGAATATACACCAGAAAAAAAAGAAAAAAGTCACCAATAACTCTACTACCCAGAGATAATCTTTCAGTATATGACCTTCCAAATTTTTTTCTATGCAGTTTACTTCAATGCTTAAACATTTTTTTTAATTTACAAAATTGGAATGTTCTATATACTCTTTAGGAATCTGCTTTTTCACTAACGTTTATAATGAACATCTTTCCAAGTCAATAAACATACATCAATAGCATCATTTTAACAGCTGTGTGGTATTCCACTGTGTGGCTGTAACATGATTTATTTCACAGTTTCTCACTAGAACATTTAACCTGTCTTCAATTATTCTGCTATTAGAAACAATGCTGTGATAAACATCCTTGTACAAACATCTTGATGAAGGTTATTTTATTATTCCCATGGAATAACTCCCTAGATATGGAATTGGGAGGCCAAAGAGGATGTACATTTTTTTAAGTTTCTGATTTGTAAGATAAATTGCTATACCTCTCTCACCTACCCCATTTTTTTGATTAATATTACCAACCAGTGGTTTCTGAATATCCTTTTACTCACGTCTTTTCCAACACTGGACATTATTATTCATTTTAATCTTTGCCTATCTGATAGGTAAAAAATTACACTTGGTTGTTTTATTGCATTTCTTTGATTCTTAGGGAAGCTAAGTTTTCATAATTTATTGGCCATTTGCATTTCTTCTGTGAATTAATTCATGGCTTCTGTCCATCTTTCTTCTGGGGTAGAGAGCAATCTTTTTAAAATACAGATCTGATCATACTACTCTCATTCAATGTCTGCCCAAAATTCTCAGGCTCTTCACGATTTGGCCCTTACCTACCTCTTTAAACTGTCTCTATTATACAGATCATGATGAAAAGCACCAACCACACTGAGCTACTTGTATTCTTGAGAAGTGTGTCATGTCTCTGTGTGTTCATACATGGTCTTCTTGGTCTCTGGAATGCCCTTCCCTTTCTTCTTCATTTAGCTAATTCCTACTCTGATTCAGCTCGGTTTCTCTAACCAGCTCCCTACTCCACTCCTACCCAAGCCCCAGAAAAATCCTGTGGTTTCCTATCACAGCACTTTTCATGTTACACTGTGATCATCATCTGTTTGCCTGTTTTAGACTTCCCACTAAACCGAACTCCTTGAAGGAAGGGATATCATCCTAGTTGCTTTTATACTTGTAACAAATATTTGCTCGATGAATTAAGACTCTTAACTGTTTGACGGATGTGTGCTTAATTGCTCAGTCATGTCTGACTCTTTGTGACTCTATGATAAACTGTAGCCCGCCAGGCTCCTCTGTCCATGGGGATTCTCCAGGCAAGAATACTGGAGTGGGTTGCCATGCCCTCCTCCAGGGGCTCTTCCCAACCCAGGGATTGAACCCTGGGTCTCCTTCATTGCAGGTGGATTCTTCCCTGGTCTGAGCCACCAGGGAAGCTTGCTAGATACCTTTGGCTTAGATGTATCATATGCATCTTAACGTATCCAAAGACAAATTCATTTTTTGCCTCCTTTTCCACTCCATCTAATACCTGTTTTCCCTCTTTCTTATGTCAGTGACATTCCCATTCATTATGTATCTAATCTCCTTACCTCTTAAATCCAAATGATCTGTCCTCTAAATGGCTCTTATATGTCCCTTCCCTTTCCTCCACTCCTAACAGATCCTAGTTGAATTTCTTATCATTGCCCTGAAAGTGAAAGTGAAGGTTGCTCAATCATGTCTGACTCTTTGTGACCCCATGGAGTCCATGGCATTCTCTAGGCCAGAATACTGGAGTGGTTAGCCTTTCCCTTCTCCAGGGGATCATTCCAACCCAGGAATCGAACCCAGGTCTCCCACACTGCAGGAGGATTCTTTACCAACTAAGCCATAAGGGAAGCCCAAGAATACTGGAATGGGTAGCCTATCCCTTCTCTAGCAGATCTTCCCAACCCAGGAATTGAACCAGGGTCTCCTGCATTGCAGGTCAATTCTTTACCTACTGAGCTATCAGGGAAGCCCAATCATTGGCCTGGAGTTATTTAACACCTAAACTTGATGTTACTTTCTTTTCCTTAAAGTGATGATTCTCATTAACCACAATCCACATGTCTTAGCACACCAGTTAAGGTCCTCTAACAACATAATCCCTTGCTGCTTCTAGAGTCACAACTCCCAACAACTTCCCTTTGGTCTGGAATTTCTTTGCTATATTTCTGTGCCTTTGAACATACTGTTCCACCTCTAAGGATCTCCTCACCTGCTACTATTTGTATACTTAGCAGACTTCTATTCATTTGTGACACTCCCTGATTACTCCAAGCAGAGTGAGACACTTCCTTCTCCTCAGTGTGACTTGGCACTTTGTACTAAACTTACGCTATATAGCTCTTCTCATACTGCATTGCAATGATTTTGTATCAGTCTCTTCCACTAGACTGTGAGCTCCTCAAGGGCAGGATATGTCTTGCTCCTTTGTGTATCCCCAAGGGCCTAGCATAGTGCCTGGACCTAGTAGGTGCTCAAGCAATGTTTGATGGATGAAAGTAATATGATGCTGGGCCCTCCGACATCATGGCTGAGTACTGATGCCACAGCTCCTGTAGCATGTTGTTATCGATTACCTGATATTGCTATCCTCCAAACCATGAGAAGCCTCCCCACCGTCTCCCTCATAGGACATCATGCTTTCTTCATTTTCCATGCCCATCCTTGTGTTTTCTTGAAGCATGCGGGGCTGTTTGGGTCTTATCCCACCAGATCCTACATCCGAGTCACTTCCACTTTCACTCAGCTGGATAGCTATGAAAAGAGAGAAATCCTGAGATAAGCTTGACAGAATTAACATCTTTGGCTTAGTCTTCCAGAACTAGTTAATCCCATGCATCTACACAGGTATCTTGCCTGGACTCTTGACCTCAGAGGACTGCCTAGGGTCAACACTGACAAGATTTATAGTTTGGAAAATAAATTAAAAAACCATTTCAGTGCAATCTGGTTTTTTCCCCTATCATCTCCTTCTATATTCTCCCCCTACCACTGCAATTAATTCACAAAACATCTCTTTTTTCTTAATTTTCTTTGCCTAATGCCACATATAACACATCTTTCTCATTTTTATCAAGTATTCAAATCAAACTTGCTGCTTTGGCATTGCTTTTCTGACTGTCATCTTTTTCTACCTATGCTGTATTTTTTCACCTCTTCTAAGACCAATGAATTTAATCATCCTATGAGTGAATGCTTAGCACCCTGAGGTCTATTAATGGGACTTCAATAAAAGAACAGCTTTTGGTAACAGCGTATGTGACCCAGAGCTTCCTCCGAGCCCTGAGTGTGCTATGGTGAGCTATGTACCAGAGAAAGGATTATCTCCTTCTTCATCACTCCCAGCATCTTCCTCATCATCTTCTCCTTCAGACATAAGCAAATCCTCATACAGGACACTGGCTTGAGGCTGTTGCACAGTTCCTTCCTCTTCGTCTGCAAGATCACCATCTGCATCTTCACATTCCTAAATGAGACCAGTTGAGACCATTAACTGATCAACTAAGAGACCAGAAGCCACCGCCAGCCACCCCCTTGCTGCCTTGCAAGATGTTAAATAATTTTGGTGGATAGATTTGGTCAGCTGGTTCCACGGATTAAAGTCATACTGGGCCTCACTATAGAGACCCCATGGTATCGCCTGGGGACTTGGCCTGTCCTGTACTTCTGGGGTACCTACCATATAAAGGTATAATGTAACCATAAGCTTTCTGTAAGCATACTCACTGGGGCTGGTGTCTTAGGTTTCCCATCCTCCTCCTCATCATCATACCCTTCAATATCTACATCAGAGTCTTCCTCGCCCAGCCTACCTCGGCCCTGGCGCATCTGAGTAAGGAACACAAATAGCACATCATTGAGGGACATGCCGGTAGGAGGAGTTAACCAGGGGCTCTCACCCAGGACAGATGCTCCTCCCTGATATCCCGGCCAACCCCACAGCTAGTAGGGGCTGTTTACACAGCTCAAAGCATGTGCATTTTCCCCCATTCATGCTTTGGAAATCACAGGTAGGGTAAAAATTAAACCCAAAGAATAGGAAGGTCCTTGGTCTGTTATTAGTATAGCATCACAAGGAGACTTCCTTTCTAAACAAGCTTTCCCTAGCTTGTGTTGGACTCTTTGGGACAGAAAAACCCTCCTGGATTTTGCACTCGCCAGTGGAACCTTGACTGAGATCAGCTGATAAGATTTCTGGCTTCAGATCAGGAGTATCTGCTGATACCTCTAGAAAAGGCCAATTTAAAAAACTTAATTTTAAAAACAACTTTGATAACACACGTACAGTAAAGTAGCAGGGCAATTATTTTGAACTATGTCTCTGAATGCAGCTGGTCTTTCCAGTCAGGCTACTCTGATGCCTCACACACTTTTCACACTTGTGTCTTAAGTTCTGCTGTGCCTGACTCTGCCCATGATGACAGAAGACAAGCCAGTCATATGACCTGCCACCATCCCACCTTGAAATCACATTTCCAGGCTTTCACTCCCAGGGCCAAGGGGTCTGAACATCATCCTTGACGCATGTCATATATCACCACCATCACTCACCCATCCCCAAGCATACTACCAATCTCACTAAGAGAAAAAGACTATCCTACCTGTGTCACCTGCTTTTCTGGAGTGGCAGTGGGAATATCCAGGACAGACATATTGCTCTCATCTTGAAATACAGAGGCATCTCGAGACATACTGAGGGATGTGGTGGTATCATACAAATCAGGAGGCTGTGGCACAAATCATACAACTTAACTTCTATTTAGTAAAGGGAGTAAAAAATTCAGAGAACTCCCCTTTAGAGCGTTCACTGTAGAAAAAGGTCACGCAGAACAATCCATTTAAGGAAAAAAAACATAGTTTTGACACAGCTTTATGGGCAACTTTTGGGGGATCTCACAAATATTGCTCATTCTAGCAAAGAGGCATCTAATGTATATGATCAGAAGCCTGAAGCAGAAAAGCATCCAAGCTATGGGACAATTCTATGTCCTAATAGCCTCTCTGGTCAATAACCTAATTTCTTCTAAGCGTGGTCTTATTGTTTTTAGGTTCAGGGCTCCATACCACTGCTATTCTGACTGTTTTGGTGTAGAGACATCTAAAATGGGATAAAGAAATGTCAATTCCAACCAGAACATGGAAAGGGGTAATAGCTTATGAGCTCACCAGAGGATAATATGAGGCAAAATAGCATGGTGAAAAACCACGGACTTTGGAGTAAACTGCCCTAGGTTTGAGTCCTGGCTCCACCATTTGCTAGCTGAGTAACTTAAACAAATAACTTAATGTCTCTAAGTCTTAGTTTCCTCAACTTTAAAACATGGATGGTAATGTGCACCTCACAAGGTTGTTGGGAAAATTAAGAGATGTGTATATATGCTCCTTACCCCATGCATGGCAGTCAAAAAATTATAGCTCCCGTCCCTCTTCCCTCTCCTAAGTGAAGAGGGATTTAGCAAATGGACTATTCAGTGAAAGGAGGGTGTGCAAAGTAGCTTCAGTCGTGTCTGACTCTTTGAGATCCTACTCTGTCCATGGGGATTCTCCAGGCAAGAATACGGGAGTGGGTTGCCATGCCCTCCTCCAGGGGATCTTCCTAATCCAGGGATTGAACCCGAGTCTCTTCTGTCTCCTACATTGACAGGTGGGTTCTTTACCACTAACACCACCTGGGAAAGGAGGGCAGGAGGGACTAAAACTTAACAGGCTGGCAAAGCCTGCTCATTTAGGAAAGGGCTCTCTAAAAATTGGCTGAGGGTAGAAATATCATGCAGTTATTAAAAATGTCTTCAAAGACCATTTAATGAAATAAAATGCTCATAATATAATGTGAAGCAAAAACAAGACACAAAATAATGATGACCAATTTCACATTATAAATGCACACACATGCACATTACAGATTTGAAGAAACACACCAAAATGTTCACAGTGGTTTGGTTCTTTCTCAGTGGTGGACTTGATTTTTAAGTAATTTATTTATTCTGTATGTTTTCCAATTTGTCACAATGAACATGTTACTTTTATCAACAAAGAACCCACATATGTTACTTTGCTGTTGGTTTTGTTTTTAAAGCAAACAAACAAGGCTGAATGGAAACAGGGTTCTGGAGAAAGGAAAAACTGAATTCAAAAGGATTACAAGTGCAGATAAAGTAGTTGTGGAACAAAAGAAGAGAAAATTAGGGAATGAAACACTATGTGGGAAACTATAGAGCAAGCAATTTTAGATAATATGTCAAGCTGAATGAATAGTGCAATATAAGCTGGGCAGAAATAGTTGAGTGAAAATACATTTATTACCACCCATTTAGAGGTGGAAGTAAAGTATGATTACTGTCATATTTCTACACAACAAAATTGTATTATGACAGGTTAAACTTACACACATTTTAATATTTAATAGAATTTGGGTTTGAGAGTAATATTAAGTAAGAACAATCACTCACATGCATCTTCCTCATGTTCAGAGGTATGAACCGGGCTTACTAAATGTGTATATATGAGTGAAGGCAATGATAAGAGAGTGAATTGGAATAATGAAGACGCAATACCTACATCCTACTCTTACCAGGAGATCCTCTCACTGCACCAAACAGCTACTGCTCAGGAGGGAGCACAGTTGCCAGGTTTTCCTCAGCCATTTTTGAGACAGTATGGGAGGGGAAGGACTCACCACAGGGCTAGACTGATGCTGTCATAGACCAGAGCAAACCATGTGCCGCTCAGTGGTTAGACTCTCCTGAGGAATGATGGCTAAAACCCAGGCTTTAACTTACCAGAAAGGGTCGTGTGGAAGCTGTTGGGCCTATTAGCAAATAGGACCTTCCTGGGGAACATCACTCACCCAAGCCCCCTTGACCCAATCTGCCCACATACTCCTAGAGCTTTTCCTTGTTCTGGGCCTGGAGGAAGTATCTTAGGGCTCTTTGTATTTGGCCCCTCAGTGACCTAGGTTTTAGGGTGAAAGAGTAAAAGATAGATAGGGAGACTGTATGAATGAGATATAGACAGCAATTATCCAACAGAGATCACACAGGCTGCATTTATTAGTTCAGAGTGAAACCTGAACAGAATGAAAAAGTTTTACAGTGGGAATCGGGAGAAACTTGCATTAGAATATTTGGTTAAATTTGAAAGAACCTCTGAGAACCCCGTAGATGACTTTCATACAGATAAGGAAATAAACATTTACTGAATGTCTACTGTGTGCTAGGCAAATGGCCTCATTTAATGTTTACAAAAATCTTGAAAAGTACATTTTAGAGAAATGGAAACTGGATTAGAGGGTTCAACTTCGCAAGTTCACAAAGCTAGATAGCAGCAGAGCTAAGACTCAAACCCAGGACTGTTTTATACCAAACTTTATGTATTTTCCACTTTACCACAGTGCCTCCAACACAGTTATAGTCCGGTTAAGTCCTAGTCTTCAAATATGCTGGCCCTCTAAGAGTACAGTATAGATGAAATACTCTTAGTATATTCAAGGGTCAGATCAGAAAGACTAAAAATTTCTTATTAATCTTGCTCTCTTGTCTTTGACATGGAAATTTAAGAACATTATAAACATTACCTTCTTCATTTACAGGGAGAGGAAGTCAATCCAGGAATATGGGTGACGTCTGAGCTATACTAAGATATTTCAGAGGGGATAATGTGGCCCATGTCTATACTCTTGGGATGTCATAGAACACCAATGGGTCTTCCCAGGTGGTGCTAGTGGTAAAGAACCCGCCTGCCAACACAGGAGATATAGAGATGCGGGTTCGATACCTGGGTCAGGAAGATCCCTTGAAGGAGGAAATGGCCACCCACTCCAGTAATCCTGCCTGGAGAATCCCACAGATAGAAGAGACTGGTGGGTTACAGTTCAAAGGGTCGCAAAGAGTTGAACATGACTAAAGCGACTTAGCACAGCATACACAGAACCCCAATGCTGGGGGCAAAGGAATTCCAGGGATTCAAGAGGATGCCTTTGGCCATGGTAGTCAGGAGTCTGGTATTCCTAAATACTGCCTAAACAACTAAGATCCCACCCCATTCATATATCCCACACCTGTCTCTTTTGGATTCAACAAGGCTACCAAGACCCATGGCCCTCACTCACCTTAGCCTTTGAGAAGACAAGAAAGCACACGAAAGGCATATGAAGAGGAAGGACAGAGAAGAAGGGTATCTCAGTAAATACATCTGTTAACATGCTCCCAATTTCCAAAATCAATAAGAAAACTGTAAGAGGAAGTTTCTAGTCCTCAGACTTACCTGAGGTGTGTAAGGCCCTGGGGTCATTGGGTCCAAGCTTTCTAATTCTGCTTCCTCCAAAGCTGCTTCTTTAGCTGTACAAATATCCTTCTCAAGTTGAGTCAAATGCTCATCATACTGAGAACGAAAAGTAGTGAGTTCATTTGTGTTTTAGACACTGAGCAGCAAACAAAAATCCCTGTCTTCGTGGGAGGAAGGTTCAAGAGGGAGGGGACCATGTACATCTTTGGCGAATTCATGTTGATGTATGGCAGAAATCAAACCAATATTGTAAAGTAATCATCAGTCAATTAAAGATAAATATAATTTAAAAAGTTAAAAGATGAGCACAGAAAAACATGTTTATAAAAACCACTTTCTGATGAACTTACTAAAGTGATGCCAGCCTGTGAAAAAAATCCCTGTCTTCATGAAGCTTCTATTCTAGTGGCAGGATACATATGTTAATAAAGTAAATAATTATACAGCTTATTAAAAACATTTAGTGCTGGGTAAGAAAATAAAGCAGGGAAGGAATACAGACTGTGGGTTGAGGGTTGGGGTGGAATATTACATTGTAAAAAAGGATAGGCAGAGAAGGCCTCCCTCAGCCCTAGGGAACACAAGGATTCCAAAAAGTTAGATCCTACAGGGACCTCCTCTTTTTCACTTACTTCAGTCAGTGTCTGGTAACAGACGTTCACAATCTCCTGAGCAGTCTTAGTATATTGACTTTCAGGTCCTATAAATGAAAAAAGAGAATGTCATTACTTCAGCTCCAGAAATGCACTTTCTGTCACCAGCAGTGGTGTCCCCTTGCCCTAGGTCCAAAAAATCATGCTTCAGCTTTAACTTGGACTCTTGCTCTAATTTTGGAGGCGGAAAATTTCAAACACATACAAAACCAGAGACACTAACATAATGAACTGCCATGTACCTCTTACCCATCTTCAACGATTATCAATAGATGGTCAATCCTGTTTCATTTACACACCAACTTTCACACTCTTCCCAAATTATTCTGAAGCAAATTCTAGCATTTCATCCATAAATAACATGTTCAATATGTGTCTTAAAGGACTTTTTAAAAGAAATGATCATGGGCGATTCTATAATGGTAGATACATATCATTATACATCTGTCAAACCCATAAAAGGTACAATACCCAGAGTGAACTCTAATGCAAACTATGGACTTTGGGTGCTAATGATGTAGATTCATCAATGTAGATTCATCAGTTGTAACAAATGTATCACTCTAGTGGGGGATGTGGATAACAGGGGAGGCTGTGCATGTGTAGGGGCACAGGGTACATGGGAACACTCTGTACCTTCTGTTCAATTTTTCTCTAACTGCTCTAAAAAATAAAACACAGTAAGAACTATTAAAAAAACATCTACTGGGGATTTCCCTGGTGGTCCAGCGGCTAAGACTCCACGCTCCCAAAGCATGGGGCCTGGGTTTGATCTCTGGTCGGGGAACTAGACCTCACGTGCTGCAACGAAGAGCCTGCATGCCACAACTAAGACCCAGTGCTGCCAAATAAATAAATGAATGTTTTTTAAAAATTAAAAAAAAAACTATATTACACCTAAGGTAGCTAACAATAATTCTTTAATATTATTAAATGGCCAGTCAACATTCACATTTCCCCAATTGTTTTATAAATGCTGTTTTTTGCAATTATAATCCAAATAAGGTCCACACACTGCATTTGACAGATGTGCCTCTTTAAGATAGTTAACCAACTGGGTGATTCTTAACCAAACTACACAGTTTCCCATACAGATTTTGTTATAAGTTGTAAATTGGTGGCTTGCAAGCCAATCCAGTTTTTATTTCGCTCACAAAAAAATCAGTTCAGGTGGTGATGTGAAGAAATATAAAATTATTGCATTATATACCTGGAACTAATATATTGTTGTAGGTCAATTATACTTCAATTTAAAAATCACTTCAGTCTGTGAAAATGGATTGAGCTGTGTACTCATACACTTTTCTGTACGTAAATTATATCTCAATTAAAAGCTTAAAAAGAGCTTAATTAGTTGGCAACATTTAACAATCAAGAGATTTCATATAAAAACCCAAATGTCTGGCTTCTCTCAAAAAATTAAAAGGTGGCAACACACAGTCAGCATTCTCACGAAGCACCAATGGGCTGGATCTGAGTAGCAGCTGCCCCTTTTAGATAAGGCGTGTGTTTCACACAGTCCCTACCAGGTCTGCTTTGTTTGTTTATGCCTGGAGCCTGAAGGCATCTGAGTTGTTATTCCCTGTCTTAAGTACTCTATAATATTCTTTAATATACTATTTATTCACCTCCTCATTTGTAAAACATTTTTGAGCACCTCTAGGTGCCAGGCATAATACACAGACATGAGTAAGATACAGACTATATCCTCAAGAAGTTTATGGTCTAGCACAGTGTATTTATTAGTCACTCAGTCGTGTCCAACTCTTTGCAACCCCATGGACTGTCACCCTGCCAGGCTCCTCTATCCATGGAATTCTCCAGGAGATCTTCCCAAATTAGGGATCAAACCCGGGTCTCCTGAAATGAAGACAGATTCTTTACCGTTTGAGCTACCAGGGAGCCCAGTGAGACAGACTATAAACAAATGAGGTGATACAACACAGTGAAAAAATACCTAAGAGGGTTTAGTAGAGGCATAGAGGAGGAAGTGACCAATGCTGGGATGGAAGAGGGAAAGAAAAATTAGGAAAGGCTTCATAGAGGAGGTAATCCTTGAATTAAACTTACTATTTATCAGGATGTATAGTATAAAAAATAGACCCCATGTGACATTTTCGTACCATAACTACATAACTACTCTGAGTATTGTTATTAAGCTATCCTTCCCTGGTGGCTCAGCTGGTAAAGAATCTGCCTGCAATAAGGAAGACCCAGGTTCAATCCCTGGACTGGGAACATCCCGGGGAGAATGAAATGGCAACCCACTCCAGTATTCTTGCCTGGAGAATCCCATGGACAGAAGTGCCTGGTGGGCTACAGTCCACGGAGTTGCAAAGAGCTGGACATGACTGAGCAACTAACACTTTATACTTTTTATAGAAACAAATAAGTTCACTTCAGATTAAATTTCTCACAGCGTAGGTCCATCTATTCTTTATAAAAGATGTAAAATAAAGTTGTGTCCTCGCACAAGCTGCCTGTGCCAAACCAGAAGGAAAACTTAAGTCAACTAAAAGATATTCAGGACATAAAGACAGCCAGAGCTGGCTCACAGTCAGGAATAGTTCTGAGAGATAGGAGTCCACAGCTGAAGTTTCTGAGTTCTAATCTCTTAAAGCCACCAGTAGGTTGGTCCTCAAAGTACTGATGGAGACAGACTGAAAAAGTTATCATACAAGCTTTCATGCTGATTAGAAATGCATGATGCTAGAGAAAACAGGCTGCATACAAGTCACAGGCTTCCTTTACTGAGCAAGTACATCAGCAGCTTATGGCAGTATCCTGGCTTATACACCTACAAGAACCTGACTCATCGCTAAAATTCCAGCCTACAGATTAAGAATTCAGCTCTTCAGTTTTGAAACTGAAACATAACCAACCCTTTCAATATCTCAATGTTCTCATTTATAATGCAGGGAAAAATTAATTTTATACATTTGCAAAGTCTTCTCCCTTAAACCACTTTAAAGATGTGACTTCTTCATTCCCCATTTTCTTTGCAACACATAACTCTAAAGAAATATCCACTAATAATACTCCAGAATATAAAAAATATACTTATTTATATAGCTAACACACTTCTCTATGTGTTTTGATTACTAGCTGTGTCTGTTCTCAGTTTTTGACAGTCCATGCTCTCAGGAGTTACAAGTATTTCAGCTACTGAACTCTACATATATGAAAAGTAACAATGAAGTATTTTTTAAAGTGTTTTTTAAAAATCTTTTATTTTGTATTGGAGTATAGCCAATTAGCAATATTGTGATAGTTTCAGGTGAACACTGAAGGAACTCAGTCATACATATACATGTATCCATTCTCTCCCAAACTTCCCTCCCATCCAGGCTGCCACATAACACTGAGCAGAGCTCCACAGCACTGAAGTATTTTTGATGAAAGATGTGGCGGAGTTGGCAAACCACTGCTAACACCACCAAAAAAGGATAAAAATACCCAGATATCTATACCTATACCAGAAATTCTTGAATGGGGTGGTAATGAGAGATCCATGAACCCCCTGAAACTGCAAACAGAATTTTGTACGTAATATATATTTTTTTGAGTAGAAGATCCACGCTTTTTCATCAGATTCTCAAAGGGGTCCATAACCACCTCCATAAAGCTAAAAATTGTGCTCTATAGTCTACAGTAATCAGGTGCTTACTAAAAGTAGGATGATCAGCTTTAGGTTTCACAGCTTAGGAAGAAAAGAGTCATCCAATGAAAAGACATACACAGACAACAGTGTCTCTGCAGGAATAATAAAGATGCTGGGGCTGCTGTAGGGGAGAAGAGAGTAAATAGAAACTGAGTTTCAATTTCCCAGTCCCTAAAGAATTACTATACAGAAAATCAGAATTTAGCAAGAATAATTCCCAGAATGGCATGAAAATGAATATGAAATATAAGGCTGTCTATGAATTACCACTGTGCCTTACAAGAGAACAAGTGACCCATTTGCAAAAAAGAAACGTTTTTGTTTGCAAAAAAGAAAAGTTTTGTTTTTCTTCTCTCTCCTTATTTAGTAATCATGGCAAAGCAGCTGCAAATGTAAACAAATATATTTATATTTATAATTTGACTCATTCATAAGGACTGGCAGTGGCCTACAGAATCATATGTAATTCAAATTCAAATGTCCCTAAATAGTGATAATTCCAGTGACATCTTTGGAAAGTTGATACTTTACTAAAATCAAAGAAAATTCCTTTTGTCATTTCTAAGTTAATTTCACTCTTTAGTAATGCCAGGAGAAGAAAGGAAAGCTATAAGCTTTGTAGTTCTAGTAGTGAGACAGCAAGCAAGTATTACTGCTATCTAAAAGGTTTCAGAGAAAAAATACCAGTTGAGTTAGCAGTCCTGCACAACCAAGAGAAGGGGGTTTGTAATCACTCTCAAGCTCACATTTCCTTTGAGAACATTTCCACAAATACTAAAAATAACTTTCCTCCTAAAAAGATGAGCGCTGTCAAAACAAGCATAACAGTGTGGGGGACATGCATGTGTTGCAATGTGAATCATTAAAATTAAAAAATAAAATCTCAGTAGCAGTAGAAAGCTTTAAAAAATCAGTGCCAGATTTAAAAAGAAAAAAAATCTGCACAGCTAATTCCTGAAGAAACTAGAATTACTAAATTCAATTATGCACAGTCAACAGATCCCTAAAAGATAGGCTTGGGCTCTCTCAATTCTGAGATAGATATTTATCTCAAATTAGGTCCAGAAAAAGGCTTTCCTGGTGGCTCAGACAGTAAAGAGTTTGCCAATACAGGAGACCTGGGTTTGATCCCTGGGTTGGGAAGATCCCTTGGAGAAGGGAATGGCAACTCACTCCAGTATTCTTGCCTGGAGAATTCCATGGACAGAAAAGCCTGGCAAACTACAGTCCATGGGGTTGCAAAGAGTCGGACACAACTGAGCTATAAACACACACCCAGGTCCAGAGAAGGTAAAAAGAGAAGTGAATTTAATCTTGCAGACTGTAGTTAGGCTCTTTACATTAGGATCAAATGCAGATTAAGATGTTTAGTTTCCAAGATAAGAT